TGTTTGGCGACACTACAGGTGGAGAAAACGTGGGAAGACTTTTTCGAGTTGCCATCATATCGTATGCAAAACTTTAATAAAAATTAAGACATAAATTTGTCTCTTAGCAAATACTAATCATTTAAATTAATTTGTAATTATTATACTTAAGTTATCACTATATTTTTTCTAGATTTAAATCAATTATAGTATAAGTATGGATTTGAAGTGCAACAAGGTTCAATAGATTGTATCCTAAGCCACAAATAATTAGCACATTACCTATACTTAAAATCATTAGAGGATACTTAAATATACTTAATAGGATAATAGAACTGCTTTATGAATACTGCACGGGAAAGGGTTTGGGATGAAAATAAATTTTTTCGAAATGGGAGATAATTCTATAATGCAGACAGAGGCTGGACATACCTTATTATAAATTACTTATTTCTCTCATTTCATTTTTGCGAGGAAAATCGTGGACAATAATTGCCAAATTGAAATATTGTGCGGTTAGAGCTGGAGTTTACTTTACAATAAATAATTAAGAACTCGCAATTTGTATTTATATAAATAAGTAAAGGACAATATCATCCAAGAACTTATCATGACAAACCTTCACTCATTTCATTTCGTCCTTTATTTACGTGTAAATGGATATCAGTTTACAAACTGGCTTGAAAACCATGACACGAGAAAATAAACATTTTGATAGAAAAGATGAAGGAATATAGAACACCTTCACTTATGGATTTCCATCTTCACCCACCACACTTGCCTCCAGCAGTTCATCATTCGCCCCAGCTCTTCCAAAAATCGGGCAAAACCTAATCCCGCCCCCGTGACCCCTACAACTACCAGCACCACCACCACTAGAGTTCGAACAACCATTTCCTGTCCCCACAATAAGCAGGGCTAAGAGCAGGATAGCCAGAAAGATGAAAATTACGACAACATAAAGCAGCACTGCAGCAAAAATGTAATCCTCTTCCGAACACCTTGTCCCACGAATTAACGTCCACAACATCTCCAAAAGTATCGCGGTGCCACCAGCAACAGCGAGGATGACGCCCATTTCCGTCTCATTTTCTGAATTCTCTGCACGAAAAGTAAAGAGAAGAATAACCGCAGTCAGTCCGAGGGACACCGTGGAGACGAGGAAACCAGACAGGCAGGATAATTCTTTCCGAGATTGCAGACATAATAGGAGGATTGACATCGTGCTGGTTACGATGAGTCCGATGGGGAAGAAGACGGCGTATTTTATCCCATCGTGGGCACAAAATGATATTAATTTTCCCCAACTTCATAAGATTTTATACTTAACGTATTTTTCACAAGTGACATATCGACATAAATTAGTTGCCATTGTGACTACAAGCAAGACGATATAATTATGGTATGTTTTTTTTAACTGAGACAGCTCCCTTATGATTTTCCTAAAATTAAGTGGCCGATATCGGCAACGCTTAACAACATTGGAATTTGAAATCGTCACATAATTTTCAAATCTTGACCGATTTTCAAAATTAAGCATATTTTGGAAACTTAAATGTTCAACCTGTAACATAGATCTGGGTCAACTAAAATTAGATTTTTTTTAACAAACACACAAACAATGGATCGTGCTATGACAATGGACATAACCCGACTTATTGACATTTCAAACGATGGGTTGAATTAAACTGGTGACACCAGGAAATGACAATATTGTTTTATTTTATTACACGTGGCCATTCAATTACAATGCAAGAAAAGTTACGGCACAGTGATGTAAAAAGCCGGTTAACAACTTAGTCCTAATCAGTCCAAGTATAGGCTTGAACGAAAACTTTTTGGAAAGAATGGTTTTCAAAGTATATCTCGTCCTAATTGTCGCCATGCTTGGCGTTGCACATGTTTCCGGGGAGCCAGTCCCATACCCATATGCAGAAAGTGCGGTTGCCACAGTTGCGGATGGTAAGAAAATCAACCAATTCCAGTTATTGAGTATTCCTTCCTCTATATACAAACAATCTATTCCAGTGTGATCAAAGAATAGAAAATGAATAATTAACCTCTTCCGAACTAATGATTTTTATAAAGAAAATCTGTTGAGTACCATGTTACATTCGCAATTACACCCCGTAACAACAACTAATTTTTATTTTTATTTCCCTACACGACGGAGTATTTTTTTGAAAACACGCCAGTTTTTTAATTTCCGAGTTTTTCATGAAAAACTCGAATAATCCACTTTTTAACATTGGTTGATATAGGGAAAATTCCAACATTTGTCAGGAAAAAATCCACAGTTTACCATTTAAATTTTCCAAAAAATACAAAAGAAAAACTCCAAAATTGAGATTTTGTGAGTTTTGATGTCAAGGTAATTTTTGCAATACACAAATGTGTGTATTTTGTCCTCAAGAGGTTAATGAATCCTTCTTGTCTCTAGGTGACAACGAGTTAGTGCAACCTAGCCCTCTTAAGCCATTGTACAGGATGAAGCGCCATGACCAATGGCGCGCAATGTATGGAATCCTTGGGATAGGGAGAAGCGAGTGCGGTTACCAGGGTGCTTACTGCCACAACTTTTTCCCCTACGCTCAACAATGCTGCAGCGGCTTTTTGGCTTGCTCAGGCATCGGAGGTGGGATTGCGGGAGGAGTTTGTTTTTGGTAGTTTTACGAATATATGCCAAAAATTATCAAACAATTTATCAATCAATTTATTTGATAATAAATCACTTAACTATACTTTCCTTTATTCAGAACAGAAATGAAATTCATATTTGGCAGAAATATTTGAACTCAATATAGCGTTGAATTTTGATTGTATTAAAATATTTTCTGTCTTATTTACTTGTGCACAAGTTCGTAATATTTAGCACCCGACATTGCTGTCGGAGATGTGGTTTCCATTACTGCACCACTGATGCAACATTTACTATCCCCGGGAAGAAAGGTGAATGAGCGGCACTTGAATTTCGTCCCCAAATCACAAGCTTCCCGACACACTTCAGTGCTATTCACGGGCGAAATTACAGAATCGGCATGTAGCGGACAGGAGTCATTTCGTAGGGATTTATACACTCTAGATATGACGATATATCTAAAATAGATAAGTGGCAACATAAATGAGAAACGTTCTTTTAAATTGTTCCATACAAGGAAATAGTAATTACCTGGTGCACAATTGTAATGGAGGTACGAGCTACCCGTAGAAGCCGTCGGGATTGGTAAATATATCCTCTCTATTTATTCCTTTGATGGTGCGTTGTAGGATGCGGATCTACATACAAGATTCTTACCCAAGATTAAGCAAATCTCTTTGCAATGCGTCTTTCCCCTATTCTGGTAAACTGTGTCGTTACTGTTTCCCCTTAGTTGGAAGTTGGGAGACGGATCAAACGTCCAAATTAAACCACACCCACCATCAGTGAGGCATATGCCTTCTGCAAAATTATAAATTGTTTGGGAATTATCGTGACTAAAATAAGACTAATCTATTTATCGTGTACCAAAATAAGTAACATCCTCAGCCTTCACGTCAGCATAAGAGGTATCGTTATCGCCCCGAAACTATACAGCAGAGCATGAATTTGTAGTGTGGTTTACGAAAACGGCATGGCAGTGTATATCGCGTTTGCATCTGAATGTGAACCTTTGCGATTTGCCTGAAGTATTGTGGCGGTATAGAAGGTATAGAATTGGGGAGCCTTTTTAACTTGTGTCCGGATATCATCTCAAACGTCATTTTAGTTCCGTTGATGGCGCATCGGGGTAGCTTTAGAGATCATAAACCATTGGCATTAACACGTAAATACCCAACCCTTTGAATACCTTACGATACTGTAGGGGCTGTGGTGGTTTCGGAGGAGTTCTTTGAACAATTTCAATGATTGACGGCTTTCACGCTGGACGTGAAGACTACATATGGACAACCAGTTTGTTGGGGCACAAATCAACACTTTACTACAGAAAACGGAATTTCTAATCGACTTACCTAGTCCAGTAGTAAGGATAAGAATTTTTATCAATTCAATTTGTCAAAAGCAAATGCAGAAATTTATGTTGAATTATTTTTCCGAGTTGTGGAAATCATGCCATATGTTGACGTACATATTTGTTAAGTTTTAACAAACGAGTTCCTGTCAGTTAGATTTAGCACCCAAGGCAAGAATTCTGAAGATGTAGCACAATAAAATGAATTTGATTCGAAACAGTGTTCCATGTGCATGCACGAAATTGCACGAAATGAATTTAATGCACGAAATAGTTGCCCATCTACTGGTTGTCCATAGATGATGCAAAAGTACTTCATGCAGGTTAAATGTATTTCGTGCATTTAATGTGTTTCGTGCTAGATATATTCACGAAACTCCAAAACATGCATTATATGGAACACTGACTATAATAATAACTATAATAAGAAAGTATGACACATTCTTAGAATTGAATTTCCTGCTTCACTGTAAACCATTTAGATAGAGTATGTTCGATTTCGTGTAATTAAATTACAAAGGGCTTATCCAATATTACTTGGGGTAATGTTTTTCATCGTGTAATAATAACTCAATGATATGACCACCATTATTAGCTTTAGTCACGGTTGTGACAATATATAAATAAATCAATCATTCTCAAAATAATTGGTGTCCATTTCCTATTGTTTGACATGAACACAATAAATTTATCTAGTAGCATAGTGTTAATTAAATAATGGCGAAAAGGTATTTGCCGGCGATGGTAAAATGTCGGTTTTAATCGGAGAAAATGTATTTTGCCGGGTCAAAACGGAATCCTGGTTTCTGGCTAGACTGCTTCAAGCATGCACCTCTATGCTGGGCATGATTATCTCGCTATGAAAAGTTGATCCATTGTAAACCAAAATGTTTTTTCTTGTACTCTGTAGAAGGAAAAATCGGTGGAGTTGAATTGAGCCATTTTCTAATGACAATGTTGACTGATTATTGAGAGACCTGATTGTCATTACTAGGTCAATCCTTCATATATATTTTTTCTCACCAACACAAATTTAAATAATTCGTTGCCTGTTTATTTACGATTTGAAATATGCTTTACAATTTAAATCATGTTAATAAAATGTGACTGTGGGAAAATGATTTATGGGTTTTTGCTTCCGTTCTTGTCTTATACAAATGTGGCTGGAATTATGATACAAATTGGCCTCCTCATGTTCTGATAAACGGTGAATCGCAGTTCAGAATCGGCCTACAGAGTAAAATTTGAGTAAAAATTCGGACACATGAATTATCAGCATACCCCTCGTTAAACGCTGGCTTTTTTCGTGTGGATACCATTTTAGAAAATGCCTTCTCATAATTATCCTAACAGTAATTGACTCACCCCAGTGAACCCATCGGATGGAATGTAAAAGTCAAAGTTGAAAGCATACTGTTGCCCCGGTGTCAACCTCACGCCTTGCAAGTAGACGTCAGGATCAACAATTTGAACCAAGTTTTCCCTCGTGGCGAGCGACTTGAAGAAAACGTTTCCATACTCCTGTGTCCCGGCTTAGTATGGAGTAATGTAAATTAGTCGGTCTAGTTGAATAAATATGTATATATTTTTGACCTCGTTCACTCACTAACTCTAAAGTCGACATCGATCGTTATGGTTTGTCCGCGACGGATTTGGCAAGGGGCGGTGGTACAACCAGCCACGCGGACATCAATAAGATCACTCTCGCCTGTAAGAGAAATTAAGAAATGTAGGAAATGTAAATGTAAGAAAACATGAAGTCCACGCAGTCCATCCGTTCGTATTTCAAACAGAATGTGCGAGAAGTGTCCATAATATTCTAAACTTGTGAAAACTATAAAATACATTTTTAAGACGTGAGCTCGAGATCTCATAAATAGTTTGAAACGAAATATACGACAATATGTACATAAATCTTCGTAGTTTCCATGTACTATGTAGATACATATTATATATTCATATTTAAATTTTAAGCGTCTTATACCACAGTTTCCTACTCCGTTGAGTTGAAGCAGGCGGAGACTTTTTTGTGATGATGAGGAGGAAATCGCCGGAACAGGCTTCCTGTCAATCGACAAGGCCGACAGGGAGCCAATCACGGTGACAAAGACGAACAATAGCTTCGACATGATTACCAGCAGTACTAGCAAACAAATAATTCAGTCAGTTTCTTCGCATCCACATTTATAATGTTATGCCACTCGAATGGAGCCAACCAACTGTAGGCAAATCTGTGACATCACGTGTTATTAATCCGTTAGGCAGAGCTCCCGTTGTTGCATTCCAGATAAGCCCTTGACAGACAAATGTAATTAAACAATCTCATGATCACGCAGTAAATGCCAATCATTTAGACAAATAATAATGCAAGCACAATTCCCAATCAATTGGTGCGATGTTTAATGATCTACTGCACACATAGTGGAACCGTGATAAGTAAGTTCAGTGGATTTATCATCCCCAAATATTTTGCACTAAGTTAATTTTTACATTTCTCCACTTCAGATCACCCGAGTCTGCATTGTCGTGATCACGCAGAAAACGTCAATCATTTAGACAAGAAAGAATTTGTGGCGGAATCAATTGTTGTAAAACTTTGCAATAATTATTTATCTTTTTCACACGAATTGGGTACATGCTCAATTAATTGCATGGAGTCCCCAAATTTTTTAATGACATCGAAATGTTTATCATGCGCAATTAATTTGATAAGCACCAATTCGACCACTCATGTCACGCATATAAAACCATGTTGCCCTTCTATGCTCTTGCAGTAGTGGTGGAAATCTTTTGGCAAAATGGCAAAAATTATCCTCGCTGTGTCTCTCTTTGTCGCTGGTTGCTGGGCCCACGGTCGAATTGAAGACCCTCCACACCGCGGTTATTTATGGCGACTGCCCGAGTATCAATGGGCCAATCCAGGACACATCCCTGACGATACGGAACTCCATTGTGGTGGCGAAGGGGTAAGAAGGTTACATTTGTAATGAAAAATGTCTATATGACTGCAATGTTTTTCGTTTTTACCCAATCTACTTATTATTATCAAGTGGCAAGTAAGGTTGTACCTACTCGTGAAAATTCATAATCTCCCTATATTTATTTCCACTTCTTGAGCACCGTACAACCCTACCAATACTTCAATTACTCATATATTGTACAGATCTCATACCCCAACATAAATGCGTGCGGCTTTTGAGGCGACCCAATCACCCAACAGCGGCCCAGACTGCACGAAATTGGTGGACAACACGAGCGCGGCCTCATCGTGCGAAACTACACGGTTGGAGAGCTAATCAATGTTAAAATCCACTGGCAGGCTAACCATGGGGGGTGGCATACGTTTAGAATGTGTGACTACAGTCGTACCGGGTACGAGAGCGAGACTTGTTTCCGTGACAACCAGCTCCGCTTCGGAGACGGTTCCGAACGAGTTTACGATATTGACTATCAAGGCGTCACCAACATTCCGGTCCAACTCCCACAGGGTCTCAGTTGTGATCGCTGCGTCTTGCAGTGGGAATGGACTGCTAATAATGGACAGTTCTACAGAAATTGTATGGACATTTCTATCCATTAAGGTGGCAAATGAAGTGTTTAATCTGAATCATATTAAAATAAGTCTGTAATTATTTGCTGAAATAAAACCATTTCTGACATCTTGCTTATACTTGATCAGTAGAAAAGCATGGCATTCATTCATTCATCACTCATAACAATCTTTCTCTCTGTGATCAACTAAACTAAAAGACAGGGATAGGGACACGAAATGCAATAATAAGAAAACAATCCAACAATTTAATGTGTGCTGCCGTTCAACCACAAAGCATTTCAGAGTTCGGGAACCAGCATAGGTACAAAACTTACTTGAATGTGCTGAGAGGACATCAATAGTTAAATTCATGACAGAAGCCGGCCGGTTAAAAATCAGGATGCAGTATACATGTGTAAATGAAGTTACCTTCATTCACCTTCATTCAATTCCATCGTACTTCAACTTATCCTTCATTCACCTAATTCAATTAAGGAAGGATTCAAAAAAGCCCTCATTCACTGGAAAAAAGTCTGTTTTAAAAATCTAAAAAGCTATTTTTTAACATTGTCTTGGTATTGGAAAAATCTGATATTTTGGTAGAAAAATTCCAAATTTTACCATATGAAATTCCAGATTGGTGGATATGAGGGAAATTTTATTTTTCTAAATAAAGTTGCCAATGACATTTTTGCAACTACATTATTGTCACGTAGCCGGTCGCTGGACCCTGGTTTAGTAACTACTTGAATGTGACGTAGTTGGTAGGAAAGGGGTTAATAGAGATAGCCAGACCAGGTCTACTTCCGTAGAGTCCATAAAGCGTCACGGCAAAACGGTTTTGGGAAACGATAGTATGGATCATGAAAATTGGAATGTTTCCCACCCTCTCCGACAATCACTAAGGGTCTCCATCCCTCTTTGAAAGTGGAGGCCTGTATTTTTGAAACATGTTCCATCAATTCTTCGCTCAATCGTTGAAGCGGTTTTTGACAGTAGTGGCAATAGAAAAGGAAGAACCAGTGTGTTCTTCCATACCCTAAGGATTTGGGATAGTTTGACAATACCATTAGAAAGAAAACCCTTGCCGACCACTTCAAATAATTCGGGAATATATACACAACTGGTTTTTTTGTCACGGTAACCAAGTTGCTGTTCCGATAGTACAAAAAGGGGTTGTTGTCTAGAAAATGGGGATACTTGTAAATGTGACGCGAAATGGCTTTATCAATAACAATGATTAGCGAACAGTAGTTCCGGATGTCGTAAATGGTTTTTATTTTCATGGACATATTCCTCCGAAGTCTTTCATCGGACTCGTAGACTCTTGGGTTGTCAGGAATAGAGTGTGAAATAGAAGTGACGACGTCATTATTGTAACTATCACTGTGAAACGTTTTAAGGTAGGAGAAACAATTTCCAAAGAAATGGAACAGGTTTAGGGGAAGGCAATATGTCATTTGTGAGAAAACTGCGAGCAGGTAGATCGTAATAAATTTATGCCTTGCTAACATGGCGCAAGTGTTTTTAAAATATTAAATTGTTTAGTTGAAAAACCCCCGTGGTTTGATTTGATTTTTTTATGTGGAACTCTGAGTGATGGGAAATATCTTTAAGACAAGTTAAAATTCTTCGGTTTTATATTTACACTAAAAATTTGGAGGAAATCTGTATGGTTTTATTACTCCTTGTCAAGCCTTCGTGCCAAACTGTCATTAGACAAGCTAGATGATGTACATAAGGGATTTTCATTGTATTCTCATCAATAAATATGGAATATTTGATTTGCTTTTAATACATATAAACCAAATAAGGTATAGAAAGTTAATACCGGATTCCTTAATTATAGTCATATATGAGCCAACATATCTGGTTTCACGCTAAGCCAAAGGAATTGTTAGGGATCTATTTGTAATTACTTTTTTTTCAAGAAATCCTAGGGGTTATTTTATACGTTTTCGTGGAAGATAATGTGCCGTATTAATATGGTTCTAAGAATTGTATTAATCAATGCATATGGTACTAAGTAAGCTAATAGGTCTAAAACACTATGTTCATGAATTTCTCTAGAATGTTTAGATATTTATGACATACTTACTAATGTAGCTAAATCCAATTTTACTAAATAATTTCTTATGCGATCGCTACCAAGAAATTTGTTTCCATATTCACATATCACACTCCCCTATTTCGCAGAATTGTAGAGTTTTAATCCATAACTTTGTCATAAATATCAAATGTATGAATTAAATGCATGGATAAAAGTTGTTGCTTATATAGACACAGTGCTCGCCTGAAATTACGACACCTCCGTTTTTTTGTAATTTCTCAGCGAGTATTTGTCATAACCAATCCAAATTTGTGGCATATTTTCACACCACCCCTATACACCGTCACAATTTAATATTTTTGTGAATAATTGCACAGGTGACATTTTATAGTTAAAAACACGTTTTTAGCATTGGACACGAAATTACGACACTTGCGTTCTCTTAATCAATTATTAATTTTTACTTAAGAAACTTAGGTGGAAAAGGCAAGGTGAGTAAGTCATTATAATATACAGTCCTTAGGGCATCACATATGCAAATATAAAACAATTATATTATCTCCTTCCATAATTTTAGGGCCATGGGAAAAAAGAAGGCGTTGACAAATATGGAGAAGGCGAAAATTGACGTCTTGAGGAGCAATAACAAAAGTTTGAACCAAATTGCGACCACAATAGGTAGATCTCGAAATGTTGTACGCCAATATATCCGTTTGGGGGACAATTATGGCATCCGGACATAAAAAGAGGATGGGATCTCTTGGAGCTCGCGACAAACGACACATTTTGCGTGAAGCAAGCAACTCCTCAACATCTGCGGCACAAATTAAAGCCAACTTAGGACTTGGAGTTTCTTGCCGAACTGTTTCAAGAGCACTGACCGAATGTACAACTTTATCTTCTTCGAAAATGAAGGCAAAACCCCCATTAACCGAACCCCACAAAACAGCCCGATTAGATTGGGCCAAAGAAGTGATGTCATGGAGGACTGAATGGGAAATAATCGTGTTTAGCGATGAGAAGAAATTGAATTTCGTCCTTCAAAGAGTCGGGATCTGAACCCCATCGAGAACCGATGGGGGATATTAGTTCGCCGTGTTTACGAAAATGGACGTCAGTTTTCGACGAAAGTCGCCATCGTGTCGGAGTTGGACAAAATTGAGGTCGACGAGTTGAAAAAATTGGTTGCATCTATGCCAAATAGGGTATTTGAAGTTATCCCAGGTCAGGGTAGTTACACAAAGTACTAGAATGTATTTAAACTAATTTTTTTCGAATAAAAAATAAATTCTGTAAGTGTCGTAATTTCGTGTCCAACCTCAAAAATGAATATTTGGTCATAAAATTGCATCTACTTAATATTTCTCAAAAATTTTAATTTCGATTGTGGGCTAGGGGTTGCAGGTTGGTGTGGTCAAAAGTTGGAAAGATTTGAACCATTACTCGCTTGAGAAATCGTGAAAAACTTAAGTGTCGTAATTTGGTGGCGAGCACTGTAACATACTACATATTATGTATAAAAGCAGAAATAAATGTAAAACAATTTAAAAGTATGCACTCAGCACATGACAATTTGAAAGTTAGGTGACTTGAAATTACCGCTCGTTGCTGCATTTATTTATCTTATATTAATAGCTATAGTTACCTGATATGTCGTTTAAGTCGACTTAAGTAAGACGTGCAAACTTATTGCGAGAACTTTAATTTAAAGAATTAAATAGTGGGTGTGTTTTATTTGCAAAAGTTTTGTCATTCCAAACCCTCCCATGGATTGAAATGTAAATTATTTCGTTTTACTTGTTTTAAAAAAATCATGAGATGGAACGAATTTTTACCGTAGTTCATTCGAAATGAAATTATCACATCCTAGCAACTAACAAGGGAACCTTAGAGACTGTCCACCCTGTTTTTAATCCTAACTAGTCTCATTCGACGGACAATTTAATGAAACTAAAATTTTGTAATAGAACATGCTGTGCAAATTTCGGTTTTCGCGAGTTATTTCGCAATAGGTTCAACAAAACGAGCAATTTTTGCATGCACTTTCATACTTTCAATTTCATACTTTCACTACGCTCATCCCTGCCTTTCATTTAAATGGTAGGCTGAATAGTGTATGAATGAGTTTGCTAGTTTTTGTTACTCGGTTTTGGGGGTACGACGACCGAAAGACTTGTTGTTGTTTTTTCACCATTTAGTGATAATATACTGTTCGATTCAACGAGTAATTAAACCACTCTGGTCGTATTTTTGTAAATTATATTGCAGTTTGAGTTAGCCCTTCAGCATTTTCCAGACTAGTCTTTCTAACAAACTTGGTTATTTTCCTTGAAAGAATTTTATGATATTAAAAAAAAATCAGAATCCATGAATTACTGGCCTAGATTAGATGTAGATTTAACGTTTTTGCAATCTGTAAAACTTATCGTTTTAAATAAAAGTCATGTATGATTTCTCGTTTCACGTTTTACATAAAATATTGTGCAATTTTTCCAATTTATATACGCGTGTTCCGTTTTGCTGAATATAGAATCGAAATCGAGAAATATAACGTTCTTGCAAATTATTTTGACTTAACTGTTCTTAACTTGTTTCTCCTTCGTCAATTTGATTATTTTTCTAAAATCCAACTCCAATTAGATAATCCAATCCCGGGAAATTTAACATTGCTAATCCCGGGATTCCCGGGAATGCCTATGTTAAATTTCCCGGGATTTGATTCCCTAACTCCAATATCATGTCAGTTTCGAAATTGGTGATTGCGCTCTGAAATTGTTTGATAACTTCAAATAAATTGTTGGCAAAATTCGGAATCCTTCATACTGACTAATTAATCTAATTATTATTTGAGCAAAATAAATAATACAATATACAATAATTTAATGGATAAACACGGCCTGGAGAATGTCTTGAAGTCGGGGCACGATGGAATAAGGGGCAGACACAGCTCATGCAAAAATAAATCTAAAAAAAAACAAAGTTCTCGTTTATGAAAGCGGACTGAAAATATGAAAGTGCATGCAAAAATTTCTCGTTTTGTTGAACCTATTGCTAAATAACTCGCGAAAACCTAAATTTGCACAACA